ATTATATTTATTAACCATTATAATTATGTAAAAGTGAATATCAAACGATAAATTATGAATTTATGAGTTTTATGCATGATTATTATTGAAATGGTTTTAGCATGAATTTTTCATTATGAAATGAGTTTAAAAAGTTATTGATTTTAGTGGATATGTATATATATGTTATGGAAAGGTGTATAAGTAGTGAAAATTGTAAAAAAGCATGATTATAGAGGATGGGAGTTCACCCAAGAAATGTGGGGATGTGTATGTGTGTGTGGAGATATGTGAGTGAAAAATCTATAATGGTTGGGCTGGCACCATGGGACATCTGGTGTAACATTATATGAGCTATTACCTTGGGTAATTCAGTACAGCATATTATGGGACTTTACCATAGGACATCCAGGCAGTTCGGCAACTCCCTAGCACCCATTAGGATGTTAATTAAGTAAATTCGAGTGCTGTGTGGCCGGAGAGGTCTAATAATCCTATTTGATGTTATTTCAGCCCTAGTTGTGGGTTCGATGTCGAGGCGGGCCATTCAGGCATCGAAAGGAGAAGAAAAAGAAGAGTTGAATCTACTGTGCCACACACCATGGCACGTAGATTGTCCCGTAGTGCACAGCCATCTCTGAGCAAGGGAGGACCTCTCTATGCCATACGCGTCCGCCACGGTGCATGACCATTTTCTATACTTTATCATACATGAATTGAGACTGAAAAAGAAAGAAGGGAAAAGAGAGAAAGAAGAGGCACGTCTAAACTCTGCTAGGGTTTACTTGGGGATCACTTTGAGAGTATTTTAAAGGCTACAAACACCTAAGGTAAGTATGATACTCATTAATCTTCCCTTTTCTTCCATATTTATAAGATTATAGGTTATGAGTCTGAATTTATTAACTCTAATGGAGTTAATGGGGGTAGATTACAGTATTTAAACCTAGATATGATGAGTGTTGTTGTTTTGGGTTATTGGGTACCATAAATACCCGAAAATCCCATTTATTATGGTGGTTGGAAGTTTATAATGCCATTAATGGAAATTTAATGGCTCATTAATGCTATTGGGAGCTAAAGGTAATTATTAAACCCAATGGTTAGACTCCACCTTTTGTAAGGTGAAAGTTAGGCAATTTAAAAGTAGAGATTGAGGGTTTCAAATGGTTGAATTTGTTATGTTGATGGAATTCAAATTAGTTGATTGTAGCTTTGGCTCTTGGTTACCTTTTGGAGTGAAAATTCAAGCTTGAAGGCTAGTTAATTGAGGGGTAAACATTTGACCTCTCAAAAGTTTGAGGTAACCGGGGAAAAACTCTACTTTGGGTAGTTGTATGTTAATTGATCATTTGAATGCTAATGGTGGATATTACATGCATGAGATTGATTTTTATGTAACACTATGCATTAGTTTTCATTGAATGTATGAACATTTGATTGAGCACAATGCTATTTTAGCTTAAAATGCAAAATGTAAAGTCAAAGGTTTTTATTATGAAAATGCTTATGTTTTGAAAATGAATGCAATGATGAGTAGAGATAATTGTGTGTTAGTAATCAAATAAATTTAAGAAAAAGATGAGAATACACACTTGGGTAGCGTAAGGTCGTGAGCCCAACGTGATTGTTGTAATAAAGAGTATATGAAAGTGAAAAGTGAAAACAAGTGAGTAATGATTAAGGCATGATCAGTGGCGGGAGTTTGACTAGGGATTTGGGAGTAAAGAAAATCCATATGGTAATTAAGCTGCCCATCGATGCAAGGGGGAATATAGCCTTGTCTCACTGTTTGTCGAGGGACTGTCCCATAATTTGTCAAAGGACTAAAACCTAGCTATCTCTACCAGTTCAATGAGGAGAATAGCCTAGGGTATAAGACACCCCAGGGATTCAAGAATGGGGAAAGCCATGGTTCGAGAGTGAGTTCTGTGATTTTTAATCAGGTCACACCTCACAATTGGTGAGCTTAGGTAGTCCAGTCACACGGACGAAGCCCTAATCAATATTATAACCCATGGTTTCAGTTTGAGGAAATAAGGAGGATATAAGGTTGGTTGATCATTGCGTAAGTAAATACATGACGTGTCACACGTGCTAAGTGGTGGCAAGTCGCAAGAGTATAGGTCTTGTCTTATATCTGAGAATATAGAGACAATGCACCTGGTTATATGAATAATGAAGCTATAGTGAGATAAGTGATAAAATGTGATATATGGGTAAATGTTTTATTTATTTAATCTCCTTGTGCATGTTTTTGTTTTATAATTAATGTATAACTGTATAAGGTAGATTTAACCTTGGTTACTGAGTGGCTAGACTCACCCCTCTTCTTTAATACCTTTCAAGCTCTAGCTCTGGTATTGAGAAGGAGAAGACTAAAGAGGTGGGGAATTAGTACATTCCTTCCTGTATGCCTCTAGTTTTCAATGTAGTTGTGTAATAGCATATGTTTGCCAATTATAGGGTGCATATTACCCATACTTGCACTATTTTGGTTTAGAAATGTTGAAATTGTATTTTGGGCCCTTAGCCCTTGTGTATTTTTGTCATATATATGTTTATAGGGCCAAAATACTAGTGCAAGTGTAGAAATGAAGATTTGGGCATGTTTTGAATGTTTTGAGTTGAATGTAATACTATTTTACCCCCCTTTTGTTTCTGGTAAATTATGGTTGAGGAGTGAATTTCAATTATAATGATGTTTCAAGGTGTGTGACGTGTTGTACTGATAGTCCTAGGTCCATTGGACATCGTCCAGGTGTTAAGAAAAGCTTTTAACAAATGTTGAGGGTTTTGGACACTCATTTTATATAAAAGTGTTGAAATGTGGTTAAATTGTGTTTGGGCATCAACTTCCTGGTATGATGTGTTTTGGAAGTAAAACCTATGCCATTAGTTAGTACAGGAAAAGAGCTTTCTATAGACACTTACATCACGTCAATCAAACATCAAACGGAGAATCGGGGTGGGTCAGAAGTTCCTTAATTTTGCTGTCATTTTGACAGCAAAACCAATGAAAATTCATGCAACACACTGCGATGCATGACGCTTGAGCTGCAATGCATGACACAGAGAGTAACACACCACGGCGTAGAGTGCGCCCGCCGTGGTGCACTGCTCTGTTTTTCAGCACTTGAATTATTCTTCACCATTTTTAACTTCTTTCACTCTTCTGAGGTATTTCGTGCTTCTAAAACTTATCTTTACTCTGATGTGAAAGATTTCTATCGATATGAATTTCTTTCTATTTAGAAAAACTTGAGATCCCTTATTTTTCAATTAAAAACTTAGTAATCACTCTTCGAAGTTAATCCCTCGATTACCATGAGCTTTATTTGTTAAGCGTGGTAAGTAGAGTGAGGATATTATAAACTAGGTATCAATTTCTCTAGTTCTGAGAACTGGTCTGTGGTTTTTGTGATTGAGTTGTTTAGATTTGTTATGCATCACATATAGAGAATTGGCAATATCCTATTACACTTGTTATTTCCCTCACCGAGCTAATGCTAACTCCCTTTTTCATTTTTGAGATTGCTTCCATCCTTAGGAGGGGAGAATATAGTACAAACAAGAGCCACAAATGTAGGAAATGCACCAACAAATATGCAAAGATTGAAACAAGAACTGATGAACTAAGAGCAACAACCAGGACCTTAACTGGGTAACAAAGATAATGCCCTGGATGAATTGAGGCATATGATGATAGACATCTAAAGGAGAATGGATGGTTATGATGAGATCCTTAGAAGAAGACCTAACGAAAGTAGTAGGACAGTGGAGAGAGTTGGGGTTGACCAAGAAGAAGCCCAAGAAGATGTGCACGCTGAGGTGCACAGGCATAGAGACGAAGAGTACTATGAGGAAAGTATTCTTGAGAGGCTGGTGTGACTAGTGAGGCCTAGGATAAGTAAGTCAGAAGGGTCTATTAATATGGCTTTGAAGTAATTCATGAGGTTGAATCCTCCTTCCTTTGAGGGTTCTGTGGAGGATCGAGTAGCTAAGAAGTTGATCGATAGACTTGAGACCATCTTCTTAGTTATGACCTATATAACTGAGCAAAGGGTTCTTTTCGCCACTTTTATGCTTGAGTATGCAACAAAGCAATAGTGGAAAAGTGTAAGGCCAGTGGATGGCTCATAGTTGACTTGGATAGAGTTCAAAAGGCGGTTCTTCGGCCACTACTTCCCAGCCTTATTTCGAGCAAAGAAAAGGGCAAAATTTCACAAACTTCAGTAGGGAAATATGAATAAGGAGGAGTTTATAGTGAAGTTCAATAAGCTATTAAAGTATTCCACCTATTTGAGTCATTATGACGATAAATATTGGAAGGCCGAGCAGTTTCTTAATAAGATGAGGCCTGAATTCAGCCAACGGTTAGTTGCCTTTAATATTACTTCCTTTAAGGTTATGTGCAACAAGTTTATAGCTAGAAGGAGTAGAGTAGTAAAAGAAAAGAAAAGAGATGGTCAAGGGAGATTCTCTTCCTACACGAGCCATATGGGCGGAGTGAGTAAGAAGTTGAGTTTTAACCCGAGTATATCTAGGAAGTACAGTATTGGAAGAAGCAAGAAGAAGAGCTTCCAGAAAGGGTCCCAATCTAGGGGATCCAACCAGAGGAGCAATGCCCCAAGGAGTATGGGTGGGGTCAGAAATAGACTTCCCAGCAGGGATCTATGACTCCATCTGTTACGATGCCAGCTGGAGCTCTGTAGTACAACAAATGTGGGAAACATCACCAAGGGAAATGTTTGGTTTGCTTCAAATGCAATAAGGTGGGACACATAACCAAGTTTTGCCCAAAGAACATACTTGCTCCTGATTAGAGATCCGCTATCCCAGGACGAGTCTTTGCCATGACTAGAGAGGAGTTCGAGGCTTCACCAAAGTTGATTAGAGGTTCAATCTCTCTTTGTGGTCACTAGATAGATATTTTGTTTGATTCTGTTGCTACACACTCCTTTATATCTGATGATTGTGCCAAGAGACTAAACTTGCATATGCTTGAAATGCAATTTTCCATGAATTTGTCTTCACCGACTGGTGCATTTGTGAGGACCAGTCGAGCTTGTTTGAAACTAGAATTTAAGTTTAGTGATAAAGTTTCTATGATTGCCTTAATCTGCTTACCTTTGAGTAGCATTGATGTGATAGTAGGGATGGATTGGTTGTCTGCCAATGGTGTGACACTTGACTGTAATAGAAAGATAGTCTCCTTACCGGTTTACACAGTGATAACTGTTAACCCTGAACCTGGCAAGTTATTATCAGTAGTGGATTATGAGACTCCCAACTTCTTGACAGCTCTACAAGTAGAGAAGTTAATGAGAGAAGGGTGTCAAGCTTTCATGATCTATTGTTCTACTCATGAGGTGTATGATGGAGGAATTGACAGAATTGGTGTGGTGAATAAGTTTCCAAAGGTGTTTGATGACCAAATGTCAGGATTGCCACCTGAAAGAGAGATTAAATTCTTCATTGATTTAGTACCCGATACCAAGCCAATCTCTAAGGCTCTGTATCATATGGCTCCTACAAAACTGGAAGAATTGAAAAAGCAGTTAAAAGAGCTACTAGAGAAGGGATTCATCTGGCCGAGTATATTACTATGAGGATCGCCTATATTGTTTGTAAAGAAGAAAGATGGAAGTATGAGGTTATGCATTAACTACAGGCAACTCAACAAAGTGACAATTAAGAACAATATCTGTTGCCACGGATTGATGACTTACTAGACCAACTTGCCGGAGCTATAGTTTTCTCTAAAATTAATCTAAGGTCTGGATATCACCAATTGAGGGTTAAGGAAAATGATATGCCTAAGACTGCATTTAGGACATGATACAAGCATTATGAGTTTTTAATAATGCCCTTCGGTCTAACAAATGCTCCTGTGATCTTTATGGATTACATAAACAATATCTTCAGACCCTACCTAGACAAATTTGTAGTGGTTTTCATTGATGGTATCCTGATATACTCTAAAGATGAGGAAGAACATACAAGACATTTAAGGATAGTGCTGCAAGTGCTAAAAGAGCACAAGTTATATGCCAAATTGAGTAAGTGTGAATTTTGGCTACAAGAAGTGAAATTTTTGAGACATGTTGTTTCTACTAATGGCATAGTAGTGGATCAATACAAGGTTGATGCAGTACTAAAGTAGGAAAGACCAACATCCGTAACCAAGATAAGAAGTTTCTTGGGTTTAGCTAGTTATTATTGGAGATTTATCTAAGGATTCTCTCAAGTTGCTTCTGCTTTGACGAAGCTAACGAAGAAGGATCAGCCATTTGTTTGGACAGAGAAGTGTGAACAAGCGTTTCAGACTCTGAAAGAGAAGTTGACAATAGTACTAGTATTGACTATTCTAGATCCCAAATGGCCATATGTGGTTTACACCGATGCATCACTTAATGGACTAGGCTGTGTGCTAATGCAAGATGACCAGAGTTGTAGCTCACATGTCGAGACAGTTAAGACCGCATGAGGAGAGTTATCTAACTCATGACCTTGAGTTAGCAGCGGTTGTATTTGCTTTGAAAATATGGAGGCACTATCTCTATGGTTCACAGTTTGAGGTATTCAATAACCATAAGAGCCTCAAGTATTTAATTGATTAGAAGGAGTTGAATATGCGACAACGAAGGTAGATGGAATTTTTGAAAGATTATAATTATGAGTTGAAGTGCCATCCGATGAAGGCCAATATAGTGGTCGATGCTTTGAGTCACGAGACCTTACATGTGGCATGGTTGATGAACCATGAGTACAAGCTACTAGAAAATTTATCTAGTGAACACTAAAATAGTCCAGATTTCACTGTGTACAACTTGAATACAATGGTAATCACTAATGAATTCTGGAAGGACTTAAGAAAAGCTCAGCTTGAAGACAAGTATCTGTTAGAGATTAAAGATGATATCGAGGCAAATTAGACCAAAGACTTTTGGTTCAACGATGATAGGTTAGTAGTGTATAGAGATTGGGTATGTGTACCTGACGATAAAAGGGTTCAAGAAACCATTCTAGCTGAAGCTCATCGGAGTAAGTTTATCATTCATCCAGGAACTACCAAGATGTATCAAGACATGAAGAGTAGGTGGTGGTGGCCTAGTTTGAAGAAGGAGCTGACAGAGTATGTATCCCGATGCCTGACTTGTTAGAAGGTGAAGATTGAGCACTAAAGACCCCTAAGATTTCTATAACCATTACAGATTCCTATGTGGAAATGGGATTGTGTTTCTATGGACTTCATTATGGGATTGCCATGTACCTAAGTAAATCATGATGATATTTAAGTAATTGTGGATAGGTTGACCAGGTTTGCTCATTTTCCAACTATTAGAGCCGACTATGCTCTAGAGAAGCTTGCAAAGGTCTACTTTTAAGAGATTGTGAGGTTACATGGGGTGCCAAAGGAGATTGTGTTAGATCGCAATTTGAGGTTTACTTTGAACTTTTAGAAAGCACTGCATAAGGCTATGGGTTTAAAACTGAAGTTCAGTTCAGCTTATCAACCTCAGACAGATGGTCAAACTGAGAGGACCATCTAGACTCTCGAGGATCTGCTACGTGCTTGTGCTATTGAATGGAATGGCAGTTAGGATAAGCACCTAACTTTTGGCAGAATTCTCTTATAATAATAATTTTCATGCGAGCATTCAAATAGCTCTATATGAAGCCTTGTACGGCAAGAAGTGTAGATCACCACTTTGTTGGATTAAATTGAGTAAGAGAAGCATAATGGGTCCTAATTAGGTGGATTAAACCACTGAGAAAATTGAGACTATCCGGTAAAAGTTGTTAACTGCTCAAAGTTGACAAAAGAGCTATGTAGATAAGAGGAGGAGACCATTAGAGTTTATGGTGGGAGACCACATGTTTTTGTAGGTCACACCTATGACTAGAATTGGGAGGTCTATTCGTGTGAAGAAGTTGACTCCCAAATTTATTAGGCCATTTTAAATCCTTGAGAGAATTGGGCATTTGGCATACCGAATTGCCTTACCCCCTCATTTTTCAGGTGTGCACGATGTATTCCATGTGTCTTAATTGAAGAAATATCAATCAAACCCTTCACATGTGATTGAGCTCGAGGATGTGGAGTTACATGAGAATTTGACATATCAAGTAAAGTCGAAGAAAATTGTGGATGTTAAGGAGAAACAGTTGAGAAATAAAAGAATACAGCTAGTGAAAGTCATTTGGAAAGGGATGATTTCTAGTGATACTACATGGGAAACCAAAGAGAAGATGAGAAACCTATATCCTCACTTGTTTCTTTGAGGTAAGATTTTACTAGCTTTGCTAGATTAAGTGAATTTTGGGGACAAAATTCCTAAAAGGAGGGGAGAATTGTAACATTTAGAGTTTTCATTCCCTAATTAATTAAATTTAATTAGGGTAATTAAGTAAATTAGAGTGTGGCCGGAGAGGTCTAATAATCCTGTTTGATGTTATTTTAGCCCTAGTTTTGGGTCTGGTGTCGAAACGAGCCACTAGAGCATCGAAAAGAGAAGAAAAAGAAGAGTTGAAGCTGTTGTGCCACACACAGCGGCGTGTAGATCATCCGCCGCAGCACACAGCCATTTCTGAGCAAGGGAGGACCTCTTTGTGCCATGCACCATGGTGCATTATTCGTCCGCTGCGACGCATGGCTATTTTCTATACTTTATCAAACGCGAATTGAGATAAAAAAAGAAATAAGAGAAAAGAGAGAAAGAAGAGGTGTGTCTAAGCTCTGCTAGGGTTTACTTGGGGATCACTTTGAGAGTATTTTGAAGGCTACAAACACCCAAGGTAACTGTGATGCTCATTAATCTTCCATTTTCTTCCACATTTATAAGATTATGGTTAGGGTTTGATAATGCAAGTGGAATTTCAGTCCATATAGGTTATGGGTCTGAATTTATTGACTCTAATGGAGTTAATGGGGGTAGATTACAGTATTTAAACTTAGGTATGATGAGTGTTGTTGTCTTAGGTTATTAGGCACCATAAATACCTGAAAATCCCATTTATTATGATGGTTGGAAGTTTGTGATGCCATTAATGGGAATTTAATGGCTCATTAATGCTATTGGGAGCTAAAGGTAATTATTAAACCCAATGGTTATGCTCCACCTTTTGTAAGGTAAAAGTTGGGCAATTTAGAAGTAGAGATTGAGGGTTTCAAATGGTTGAAGTTGTTATGTTGATGGAATTTAGATTGATTGATTGTCACTTTGGCTCTTGGTCACCTTTTGGAGTGAAAATTCAAGCTTGGAGGCTAGTTAATTAAGGGGTAAACCTTTAACCTCTCAAAGGTTTGAGGTAACTAGGGAAAAACTCTACTTTAGGTAGTTGTATATTAATTGATCGTTTAAATGATAGTGGTAGATATTACATGCATGAGATTGATTTTTATGTAACACTATGCACTAGTTTTCATTGAGTCTATGAACATTTGATTGAGCACAATGCTATTTTTGCTTGAAATGCAAAATGCAAAGTCAAAGGATTTTCTTATGAAAATACTTATGTTTTGAAAATGAATGCAATGATGAGTTGAGATAATTGTTTGTTAGTCATGAAATGAATTTGAGAAAAAGATGAGAATACACACTTGGGTAGCACAAGGTCGTGAGCCCAACGTGATTGTTGTAATAGAGAGTATATGAAAGTGAAAAGTGAGAACAAGTGAGTAATGATTAAGGCTATAGTGAGATAAGTGATAAAATGTGATATATGGGTAAATGTTTTATATATTTGATCTCTTTGTGCATGTTTTTGCTTTATAATTGATGTATAACTGCATAGGGTAGATTTAACCTTAGTTACTACATCACTCCCCTTCTTTAATACTTTTTAGGCTCTAGCTCTGGTGTTGAGAGGAAGAAGCCTAAAGAGGCCGGGAATTAATACATTCTTTCTTGTGTGCCTCTGGTTTTCGATGTAGTTGTGTAATAGCATATGTTTGCCAATTATAGGATGAATATTACCCATACTTGCACTATTTTGGTTTAGAAATGTTAAAATTATATTTTGGGCCCTTAGCCTTTGTATATTTTTGTCATATATATGTTTATAAGGTCAAAATACTAGTACAAGTATAGAAATGAAGATTTGGGCATGTTTTGAATGTTTTGAGTTGAATGCAATGCTATTTTACCTCCCCGTTTGTTTCTCGTAAATTAGGGTTGAGGAGTGAATTTCAATTATAATGACATTTCAAGGTGTGTGATGTGTTGTACTGGTAGTCCTAGGTCTATTGGACATGGTCCAGGTGTTAAGAAAAGCTTTTGGCACTTGTTGAGAGTTTTAGACACCCATTTATATAAAACTGTTGAAAAGTGGTTAAATTGTGTTTAGGCATCCAACTTCCTAGTGTGATGTGTTTTGGAAGTAAAACTGGTGCCATAAGTTAGTACAAGAAAAGAGCTTTCCGTAGGCACCTAGTTCACGTCAATCGGACATCAGATGGAGAATTTGGGCGGGTCAGAAGTTTTCTAATTTTGCTATCATTTTAATAGCAAAACTAGTAAAAATTCATGCAACACACTGCGATGCATGATGCCTAAGCTGCAGCGCGTGGCACAGAAAGCAACACGCCATGGCGCAGAGTGTACCGCCGCGGCGCACTACTCTGTTTTTCAGCACTTGAATTATTCTTCACCATTTTGGACTTCTTTCACTCCTCTGAGGTATCCCATGCTTCTAAAACTTATCTTTACTCTGATATGAAAGATTTCTATCGATATAAATTTCTTTCTATTTAGAAAAATTTGGGATCCCTTATTTTTGAATTAAAAACTTGGTAATCACTCTTTAGAGTCAACCCCCTCGATTACCATGAGCTTTATTTGCTAAGCATGGTTAGTGAAGTGAGAATATTATACCTTAGGACTTGAGCATGTGCGTATTATGGTAAATGTTGTGTTTTGTGATTTTTGAACTCCCTAGCCCTAATACATGTGTGAAACATGAAATAACTAGATGGGCTAGTAGATGAATGTAATTATGTGTGAAGATGAGATAGGTGGAGATTGTTCATAGTGTTTTGACCACATATGAGATTAAAGAATTAAAAGGTGAATTTGGCCTAAAAGGTGAAATGGGTGATTTACAAGCCAAATTTGTGTATGTGCTAAATTGTGCATATACATGGTCCGTTAGGTGTGTTATGTCCCTTTGGATATGGTCAGGGCCCAAAAAATGGCTAATGACGTTTGGTTTCGAATTGAGATACTTAAGTGACAAAAAGTTGATAGAAAATGGTCAAAGTGCACTTTAATGTCCAATTTTTGATAGAAATATTGGATTGGGATGAAACCAGTGTCATTAGTTAGATTTCGAAACAAGCTTTGTGTGGGCACTTGAATCATCTCAATTGGACTTAGTATATGGAAATGGTGGGCATCTAAATTTCATATCAAAAATTGCCATTTGACAGCAAATTCAAGTGTTTGCGCCGCTACGCATGTACTCGCATGCCGCAGCACACAGCAT